AAATTTCAAAAATAAAAACAAAAAATTTGACTTTAGGCATGAATTGAACAAAAATCTGATCAATCTTCAACTTTTTCAATACAAAATTGTTTTCTTGTTAAATTTGTTCCAAATTTCTCCATTATAATTAAGTATAATGCATACATAACTTCCTGAAACTTCTTGAAAATTTTGTACCTGCTTATGACACGCACCCCCTTTTTTCTTCTGAAATTTGGGAAAAAAGATGCGCGTGGTACTCAAGTAAATATGGTAATTAGAAAAAATAGGAGCTACATGCAAAATGAACCATGGAGCATCTCTACAAAGGTCAATGATCAATACAGTAAAATCTGTTCACAGTACAGCATATCATGGTGCAACAACATACTGCTCACAACAAGTTGATGTTTATATAGATTCCTGCCAAGTATTTGTAATGTTTCTTTTAATATTTAACTAAGAACACTTTTTATAAATACTTTTCATGGTCCAAATGGCTTTTTTCACAATGAAATGGTATTGTATCAACTTTGAGCTACATTTGTCCAAGTTGTATTTGAAACTCATCACATTATAACACCTAAATGTGTGATTTATTGCATTATATTGCCCCTATGTCAGAATGTCCGTGCATGTTGTAAAGTGTTCTCCCATGGAATTATTATTCAATGGGTTCTCCATTAGCTCATCAAATATTAGGAATAAATCCCCCAAAAATTGAATATATTTATTTCAACTTGATAATGCAGAAAGTGACTGCAGACAAAACCCACAAAGAATCTGCTTCAAAATGAGTCAAAGAAACAGAGAACAAGAACAAGGCTTGCTATACTGTGCACAGATGATGGAATAACTCCAAAAAAGCACAAAATTAGCCTGCTTTGTATTATGAGTTCAATTACCCTATTTTTAATTTCTGTGGATATTAATACTGTAGCTCCATTTCTTCAATAAATATCCACATTTTCAAAAATGAAATTTTTCCTCCAGAAATGTTGGAAAATAGTCCATTTATATTCTCAAGACATTTGTCCAGATCCTGAGCAGATTTTTTGAGTTTCAAGTGTCCTTATGTTGGGGGGCCCCCACTGTATATACACCCAACTCACGAATTCAGTCCCAATTTCCAAAGAAAAGAACATTGCCTGCTTTCCTTGAAAAAATCAATTAAATTCTCTTTATTCGGGATGCGGTTGGCCACGTAATAAAACAGCACTCTCATGACACGTATTATTATTATTTTTTTTACTTACCGCTCTCCGTCTTCTCCCTTCTCTTGGAGTGGGTACCAAAGTATCCTTTTTTCGGGTCAATATATAAGCAATTCGCCAGTACGAACGTCGTTACTGGGTTTAGGAGAGAGGAGAAAGAAAAAAGTGGAGGCCGAAAGCGACGTAATCAGGAGCAACAACGGCGTACAAAGTTGCTCATTATACGTTGTTGGCTTTCGTGGCTTCACCCACAGTCACGAAGTAGTACTGGAAAACTCGCTCCGTTGCGCCCTTCAGCAGAGAAGTGGCTTTTTTTTTTTTGCTCTTCCTCTCTCTCTCACTCCTTTCTTTTCCTCCTATATATTGTTTGTTTGAGGATTTATTTATTTATTTATTTGCTTTCCGATTGATTGTTGCTGAATGATTCATAAAAAGTTTGGGGGGGACGAGACGAGAAACGCGGTCACGAAATTAATTGATGGCAGCGCAGCAGCGGAATAAAAGCGAACCGCGATTTACTTTTTTTTTTGTGGGTACTACGCATAAATCATCAGCAGTTATTTAGAAAGTTTATAATCACCTTAGATATCATTTTTCCGTTTTATGTTACTGAGAAAAGGGGTTTCTTTATTGTGCATATATAAACCCTGTGAGCGATAATACCGAAAAGAGAATATCTCTGAATTATTGTTTTCGCGAAAAACGACGCAATTTATTGCCAAATCTGTGATTGATGACTTTTATTAAATACGGGTCCTTGGATGAGAAATGCTAAGATCATCAGCAGAGTTGGCAATTGCGGCAAATTGATATTTGAATAAGTCAGAGCATATGGCTTAAATTTCTCGCGTCTTTGAAAATACTGTATATAAGGAAGGCGAAATTTTGTTTAGCCAAAACTTCGTGGATGTCAGAAAAACGATCACTTGTACATCATTTGCAAATGATATTTATCTTGCTTTTCGGAAGTATGAAGCAAGTAAACCATTGATGACCTTTTCATCATTTGAAAACGTATCTGAGATTTCATAAAATAAGATGACTAAAAAATCGATGACCTTAATTACAGCATTTGAAAACGTGACTCGGTTTTCAGATAACGAAAGATTTTAAAAATCGATTATCTTTATATGGCTTCAGAATTTTTTTATTGAGGACATGCCAAAGATATGTAGAAGTTCTTTTGCATTTCTCTCACAAATTTACCATCCATTTAGCGAATTCAAAAAATTGCCTCCAGCAAAGAGGAACTTCCTTCTCTCTTTTTCACTTGAATATTATTTTTACAGCCAACATTTCTATGAACTGTACTATACAGAGGTATCAGTATTCAATTCCCCAAAGGCCCATATTGTGTTGAAATATATCGATTGGAATCAGTTTAAATTGGGAGACAATTTTTATTTTCATGGAATTATGATTTTGTACATAAAACACCAATTAAAAATTATATAATGTAAGTCTAAGGGAAAAATGAGACTCAACTTAAGGACATTTTGACTCAGGGACACTCTTGATGCACCAATTACATTCGCATCTTATTGGGGATCACTTTTTTTTTTTGAAAACTGCTGGAATTGTTTTTAAAATGGGCAAACATTTCAGGTCGCAGATGTCTCGGAGTTTTTGCAACAGCCGCGACGTCGACGGGAATTCTTCCGAAGAAGGATCCGAGCCTCGTGGCTCTTTTTCCCCGGTGTCAAACTGTTCCAAACATGGACGGGATGATGGAAAAGGTGGCAATAAGATTATCGATCAAGAGCCCGAACATAACAACGAGGTAAGTTGCTATAAAAATAAGTCTCTTGATGAGATGGGTCTCGCCGATGAACCGTGTCGAACGAAACCCCTCCACGAAAGACAAAAATTCATTCGAAAATTACGCAGCGAAAAATAAATAATAAATAAAACATCCGCGGAATGAGTGAATGATTTCCGCAGACAATCGCTTTTTTTTTCCCCACCACTATTTTTCAGCAGAAAAATCAGCGCAGTTCTGGACGTTGAGCAGATCAAATTATTCCAACACGCAATAACCCGAATAATAAAGTATCCCAAAAATATACTTTTCGTTATGCACAAAATAAATTGCTCGATTTTCCAGGTCGACGACGACGACGACGACGAAGGCTGTCGACCAGAGGACTGCGAAAATGAGAAAACTTGCTGCAGCAGCAACAACAACAGCGACGGCGAAGAAATAAACGAATGTCCAGCGCTGATCAAAAGATGCGACGTGTCGAACACGGATCATAATTTCCGAAATCCCGTCACCGGCGCAGACGGGAAAAAGAATATGATGAAGCACGTCAACGACGACGATAACGACGACGATGACAATCATGATGACGTCGTCGACGATGCTGACGATGATGACCACAACGTTGCGACGACCCGTGAAATCAACGTGGAAATGTGAGTCTTGAACCCTGTCACATTTTGAACCTTGCCCAAGGGCATTCAAGTCCAGCTTTTAATGAGATATACTGTACTAACTTTTTCTCCAAAAAAATGGATCAGGATTTTCGTTTTCTCGCTTGAGCATTCATAAAGCGGAAACTTCTTCTTTTTTTTAATTATAAATTCGTAAAAAAACCAGCAGCAAAATCCCCTGGAATATGTCATGAAATCTGAAACTGCCACCCTTACGATCCATTTTTCAGAGAAGCGAGAATAACCTGGTACTTAATTTTTTTTTCGTTTTGCTGAAGAGAAAAGATGATATTTTTTCAGTGCCCAAATTTCCTTATTAGCCTGTTGTTTTACGTTTACTTCATAAAGGCTTTTATGTGAGTCTTTTCACTGTGTTCATTACGGGAATTAAGTTTGCTATTAGTTTGCTTACGTAATAAGTTCAGGGAATATCTTCTTGACAACGAGAGGAGAATTTCAGGCCTCAAATGTGAAAATAAAAACGAAAAACGACGCACATGGAATTTTGTTCATCAGAGGATCCCAAAGTAAATCACGGTTGATAATACAGGTGGACTCAATGCAATGATTTTCTCTGTGTAACAAATTTTATTTTGGTCCCAGAGGGTTCTGTATAATGAAATTCAACTTATGACGAATTATTTCTGGACCCTTGATTTTTGTTGTAGAGATAGTCCACGTGTATTGTTGTACAGGTGAACCTCAATAAGTTGAACCTTGCCAAGTCAAATTCCTCCTAAAGTCAAATTTTTTTCAAGTCCCTGTCTGAATTCCCTTAGAATCAATACATTAAAAACCTCACTAACTTGAAATCTTTTTCTCTAAAACCTCTGTAATTCAAATTTTCTGAGGCCTTCTGGTTATTATTTCCTTGAAATATGAAAGATAAAATGAATAAAACAAATGATTTTACGCATCTTGAAAGGAAGTGAAAACAAATACAGTATAGCAAATGAACCTCCCTGCCTCCAAGTTCAGCAAGTTGTAAACTCATTAAGGAGCATGTTTAGACCCAGAATATCCTCATTTATGATTTCCAACACTTTTTTTCACTTTTCGAAGAGAAAAAGCCTGCTCCTTTATAAATTTGAAAAATTATCTTTAAAAAATTTAGTAGATTAAAAAATTAATCTAAAAACCACATTTTCAAAAAGCAAAAAATAACCTTAAATTACAACTTGCTGAACTTGGAGGCAGGGAGGTGAGCAAAATTTGAGTTGCAAAATTTGATCCGGACAAACAAACAGAAAGAAAGCGAGTTAATAAAAACGTGTTAAAATACAGTAAATTATTTGAATATTCACTTATAAGTCACTGCTGGAGAAAAACCCCAACTGCTTTTTAATTTGACTCTCCTTGATTCACGGTCAATTTTTTGTTGCCTTCACATTATTTAGTCGTGCGCAAGCAATGATAAAAAGAAACAAAAAGTAAATCAATTGAAACACGCATTTCAAAATATAATTCAAAATAAACTCAATGATGCGAAACAATCTCCCTTGTAAAGGGAATATTTCTTTAAATAAAATTACCTGTCATACTTCAAATTAAAGTCTGTACAAAAATATATCAGCTATACTTTCAGTTTTTTTTTCAGCAGATGTTCAAAAGGTTCACGGCCTCTTCCAAAACATACGATACATACAAGCACTAGATTCACAAAAATAATAAAACAAAAACCTTTAAAAAAATGCCGTCAAGGGTGCTTTTCTCTCTCTCTCTCATCCTGTCTCAATTCTTTGCTGGCCACTGAACCGAACCTTGGACTCCTTTCATTCTCGCTCTTCAAATTACCAGGACGTAAATCAGCGAATTCCACAAAGACAGCAGCAGGAAAAAAAATAAAAAATGAAGATAAGTAACAAGACAAAAAAAGTAAAAAAAACAGAGAGACCATCAAGTTGTCTGTCTGACACCAGGACTGCGCGAGTGCAGAAGGAACCTGGCAGTTCCACGTACGCCCTCGTCCCAACACCATCAATCAGATCTGCTCCACAAGTACACAATCTTCCGCAATGACACGCAAGAAAAAATCTCCTTTCGTTTCCCTTAGCTTGGGCCTTTTTCTCTTCCTATTTCTCGGTCTCGGCACGTGATAACGCGAAAAAAAAGGCTTGTATATATTCACCCACACGCCGACCCCGCAACTCTGATGATACAGTACAAAAAAATTGAAATAAACTTTAAAAGAGAACGTAGACAAGAGATAATTTCCAAACGCGTGAGTTCATCAGTCGTTTGAGGAAACGAACGAAAAGGAATACAGAAATAAAAGGAAATTAAAGTGACCATGATGATGACAAGGCTGGGACCACAATACTGAGGGAACCGCTGAATTTTTTTTCAACAATTATTGATTCGATTTGGATGCCTCCGATGGTACGTGTGGTTCCCTTTATTCGCTTCTACCAGCGAAGTATCGTACGAAAGTTTTTTTTTTTCTAGTTGAAAATTAGGTTCACGAAGAACGAAAATATCGAGAACTCAGCGATCAGCGTGTTATTCCAAGATACAACATTGAATCAGTATCTTTGTTTGGTGCGGACGCGTGAAAATATTTGTCTTCCTCAGTAGATTATACCGTACTACAGTATATACAGTACTCAGGAGACACTCTCAGGAAGACTGGTTTATCATTTCAATTTGATCATTCGAAATTTCCTCTCATTCTTTCAGAAAACAAATGACCGGCATAAAATTCAAGGCGAAACTCACTCCTCGAAAAACTACGGCTGCTTTGATGGTAATTTTTTCTACAGAAATCCTCAGAAAGCTTGCTTTCGATTTAAATTGTTCAGGCATTGCTTCAGGAAACTTTCAAAAAGGATTTTCGGAAAAGTCGCGAGGATAAAAAAGTGCTCAGAATTACGGTACACACATTATTTCGAGAGATTACAAAAAATTGGATTTTTTTCTCTTTGCTGGAAAGATTTGCTTGCAGTAGCACAAAATTGGCAACGAAACTTGCTACGGTGTAGCAGATATTATTCAGACATGTTATAACAATGCAAGGAAATTCTTCAACAGGTTACGAATGCAGGGCTCTATAATAACGTAAACAATCGACCGCAGAAAAACTAAATGGAAAACTCTCCATTTACTGATGTACGAACTGATGATCGAAGCAGCAAAGGTCTAATCGAAAATCTCATCGTGTTCATCTTTTTTTTAAGAGTCGTGATTAGGTTTTTTTAAGAAAGCAGGGAGCTAATCCATTTCAGAGCATCGTATTCAGCCGATTCATCACGTCAGTGAAATTACTGCAATTTGTGATGCCCAGAAAACTTCCGGTTTTCTTTTTTCCCCACTTACCTTCTGGAATAAGTGACGCGGT